CGGTAGGAGTCCGCTTAGCGCGTTTTGAGCCTTTAGCTACTGTAAAATACATGAGTGTGTTGGTCTCGCGTCCAAAAGCTCGCTTAGCGCACTTTGCCGACACGAGAACTTCAAAACTTGCTTTTCAGTCCTTCTTTCCTTCACATATTGTTCCTATCATAAAAAATGGGCAAGAAGAGTTGTCAAGGAACATAAAAATGCTTGGTATTCACAATATTTACAGTAAAAATCGGAAATTAACATAAATACACTTAAACTACTAGAATTTAGACTATACTACCAAGAAAACCAATTGAAAGGACCATCAAATTAAGTCAAAAGTATGTATAATTTGGCCCTTAGCATGTACGCATATATTTGGTCTTGACTATGTGCCACTTTTTCTCCGATGGACAAGATTTTTTCACTTCGTCTCTTTCTTGCAATGACTGATATTCATCATTGGTCATTTCAAAAGTTGGACGTTAAAAATGTATATGCATAGAATTAGATGATGGAGTTTATATGAGTCAACCTCTAAGTTTTACTATTCTTGTAAATTCTAAACTTGTTTTCTAGCTTCGTCGTTCTCTTTATGGGCTGAAACAATTCCCACGTGCTTAGTTTGGTCGCTTTAGCTCTACCTTGATACTGTTTGGTATGACTAAATGTGAAGCAGATCACTTTATTTTCTTTCTTCATTCCTCCACTAGTCAGCGCATCTTTCGTGTGGTATATGTTGATGACATTGTTATAAATGAAAACGATACCAAGGTTATCGAACAACTCAAAACTTATTTTTTTTTTAAAATTCAAACAAAAGATTAGGGTCCACTCAAATACTTCTTAGGTATTGAAGTTGCCTAGTCCTCATCTGGAATTACAATCAACCAGTGTAAATATACCTTAGACATTTTTAATGAAAGTGGTACGCTTGATTGTTGTCCTATTGATACTCATATGGATCACAACGTCAAGCTTCTTTCGGGTCAGAGTGAACTATTGAAAGACCCAGAAAGATATTGACTGCTTGTGGGAAGACTCAACTATCTTACAGTCACCATGCCAAATATTACATATGCGCTGAGCATTGTGAGCCAGTTTTTGATCCCTCATTGTGATAGTCATTGAGATGAAGTCATTTGAATTCTCAGATATATAAAGAATGCACCATGAAGAGGACTATTATTTGAAGATAATGGTGATGCTAAAATAATTTGTTATTTAGATGCAGACTGGACTGCATCGCCGTCGAATAGGAGATCCACATCCGAATACTTTTTTCTGATTGAAAATAATATGATCTCATGGATAAGTAAGAAATAAAATACAGTTGCACTATCTAGTGCTGAACACGAATATCGTGTTATGGCAGTAGACTCAAAGGAGCTTGCATAGCTAGAAAATTTCCTCTCAGAACTTAGGATACGAGATCTATAAAACACAAAACTCATATGCGACAATCAAGCAAGACTCCACATTACATCTAATATGGTTTTCCATGAACGAATGAAACACATAAAAATAGTCTGTCATTACGTAATGAACAAAGTACTATCAGAAGAAATCACCACATGTTTCGTAAGATCTGAAGACCAATTAGCTGATATGTTTACAAAGTCTCTTAGGGGTTATCGAGTGGATTACATTTGTAACAAGCTCGAATCATATGACATATGTGATTCAACTTAAGGGAGAGTGTTAAGAATATTTGTATATAAATAGTCCCACATCGACTATAACATGTAATTAGTTGTAAATTCTCCATATATAATATTGTCTCTGTAGTGCCTTTTAAACACACAGTTTATTCAAACGTCTCTCACTCTCTTATGCTTCAATAGATTCCAATTATGAAAATGCTTGACCCAAATCAAATTTTAGATTTTGATTATGTAATCTTGATTCAAATCATAGACCTGGATGACTCTAATCACATGACTTGGATCATAAAAAACCCGATTTGAATAATTAGAGCAATTTTTCTTGGTTTTTGAATCTTGGTTCAAATCATTCACTCTCTTAACTCGACTCATATCATTTGCTTTTGATTCAAATTAAATGTGTATTTGATCTCATTTTTATATCTTATCTCCAACACATATATAACTCATTTTTTCAAATCCCTCTTATAACCGTGGTATGATTTAGAACTTATAACACACATTCTATCTCAAACTTTCAAAAATATTTTGAGTTTTGTTTTGAATTTGCAATAAAAAAATTTCTTGTGTATTCCATTATTGTTTGTATTAACTTTTTTTTTTTTTTTAAGGTGTGAGATTTATGTGAGGAAGTTACTTTTATGATTAATTCTTTGTGAAGATTTTGAAAATTTTAAAATTGACAACTTTATAGATTGTGATTGAAATCAACAATACAATGAAAAAAGAAGAATTGCTTGAATTCTTAAATTTTATTTTTAATATTAAAAATAATGCTAACATTACATATTTCCCTTTTTATACTCTTCTTTTCAAATACTAAATTTTTTATTAAAAGAATCTTACATAAATAGAAACCTCGAAAAAAAAAACATTACATGCGACTTTTGTTTGGGGTAAATACTGAATTTAACATTAAAAATTGTAGGATAATGTTATAGGAGAGGGTGATCGAATTCGAAGTGGCGCAGTGGTGAGCGAGCAGCTATGGTTTTACACTCTCTATGTCTCTCTCCCTGTCCCTCCAACAACAACCTCATTCTCCCCAACAACAACAACCTTATCTTCAGGAACAACAACAATAACACTATCACTACAAAGGTAGTAATCCTTAACCAAAAAAGAGACTTTTCAACTTCTTCTCTAAAACCCACTTCACAAACCAGAAGAGATTTGATGCTGTTAGGCCTCACTTCACTATCTCTAACATCCCTTCCATTCTCTGGTATATCTCTATCTCTCTTGCATTTTCTGCTAGATTTGAGACACATTTGTTTTATTATCATAATTCTTTCCTGTTATGTCTTGCAGCTACTCATGCTGAAGAAGAACAAGAACAAGAACAGGACCCTAAAATGGCTTCTTTTATAGATGAAATCAATGCCTATTCTTATCTTTACCCTCTTGAGATTCCTTCTAAAAATCTTGTCTTCAAATGGTATGTTTGCCATTTCTTTTTTCACTTTTAATCCACAATTTCAATAATATGTTCAATGAACTTCTCCATTGGATGAACATTATTCCATCCGAATGATCCGGTCACTATTATAAGCAAATGTTTCATTTTCAGATTCATTGAATAACTGATGTATTTGATTTCAAATATCGACCAGAGAGATACACTAGTTATTCAATAAACTTAACGGTTAATGGAACTATAATAAAGTAATTGATTTACATCTCCATTTTTTGCCTGCAATTTTTCATAGATTGTTGTATGAAAAGCTAACTTTTTCCATATATTTAAAGGGTAGAGTCCCGAAAGCCAGAACGATATTCATCGGCTGCACCACTTTCTCGTAAGTTTCATTTTCATGGCAAAAGTTTATCTTATCTGAAAGATATGAAGTTGTCACTGTACTGATTTTCTGCATAATGATATTTGGATGGTTGCTATGTAGTTTCCCTTTTTCTCGATAAAAATTTCTCTGTAAATTCCATACAGCTAATGCACGGCTACGTATGGTGTCTGAACGTCTTGATATCTTTGACAATGTCATCATTTCCGTCACGGTATTTCCTTACCTCAAACTTGTTGCATCAAATTTTATGTATCAGTTCAATGCTGTATCAGCTTTTTTTTCATTAAATTCAGATAGGCCCTCCAAATGCAAGCCTTATAAACTTGAAGGATAAGAGCAAATGGACTGCAAAAGATGTTGCTGATTCAGTTTTAGCCGACAAATTTTCACTGGTACCTTGTTGCTCCTTTCTCATAGATTTTTGTGCTCGGGCTATTCTTAACTTTTGAAATTCCGTATTTGAAATGCTTTATGTTGCTGAAAGGCGCTTTGTCTGTGATCGTAGTGAAAATCCTTCCAACTTGTTTTTGATATTTACAATACTTTGCAGCGAGTTACCTCAACTGAGCGATCTGCTGAGAGTTCAGTCCTCGACGCACATACTGATGAAGTAAGCTTTATACATCATCGGTATTTCATACTTATTGGTTTCCACCACATCGACAATGAGCATGTTGCATTGTATATATGAGTTCATTAAATGAATTGTTGAGTTTATCTGTCTCCTCACAGATTAATGGTGAACCTTATTGGTACTATGAATACATTATCCGCAAATCGCCTACTAGAATTGTAAGTATTTCCTCTTGGTGCATTTTTTTTCTTCTTTTATGGATAATTGTGGTGTTTGTGATTGTGATTATTACTCTGGACTTGTGAATGATGGTTGTACAGCCTGATGAAACAGGAACTTACCGGCATTATCTCGCTACAACAGCAGAACGAGATGGTACCACCTCTCAAATTACTGCTACTTTAGTATTGCAAACATGCATTATCTCACATCAAGTATCAACTGTTACTAATTGTCATTGATTTCAGGTTATCTGTACTCGATCAGCGCTTCAACCCTCAGTTCGCAGTGGGAAAAAGTACATAGTCTCTTCCTCTTTCATGGTGTTTGACATTGAGTGTGTGCTCATTTACATATAACATTCATCTAAATGATTCTAATAAAAAAAAATTTTTTATGCAGATGGGGCCTGTGTTTCAGCAGACAGTGAGTTCGTTCCGCCTTGTCAGTCCAACGGAAAATTATGTTCCTCCTTTCAAAGATCCCTGGAGATTTTGGTGAAAACTCAAATTTTGTTCTTGTTGTATTCATGTAGTAACCTTTGCGGTTTAAACATATTATGTTCTTTGAAGACCAAATTTTTGAACGAAATCTCTTTATTCATCGAGTTATATCAGTAGTTTCCAGATCCATACTCAAATGATTTATAAATTCATTATCTATCCTATTAACAAGCTCCTAATCTGAGCAAAAGAATAATATACAGCTATCTACTTGTTACATCACCCTTTCCTTTAAAGCAAAGGTGCAAGTTTTATATATCTAAACCTCGGTTGTAGCATAGTATTCAAAAAATATGCATAGTAATGGAGAAGATTGTAGGCGCAAATGCAAGCGATTTGTGAGTTGATAGCTCAAAGTCCACTGTGTTGCCATTTCTGAATCCTTCATTTGCCTAGTCACTCTGGCCTGCAACAAAAACAATTGCTTTCTCAAATTTTTAAGGGTGTCGATGTGTCAGAGTTATGGCCGTGTTAGTGCACCATAGTTATTGTCATTACCTGAAGACGTTTTCCAAGCTGTACTTCAAAATCTGTTCCAAATGTTAAATTACCATCAAGAAACTTAGAAGTATCTACCGTAGCACCAGAAGATACTAAACTAGGAATCTGAGGCGAGTACATTATCCGCCACTTAGCATTGCCAAACTGGCCGTTCCCTTCTATCCGTGGCATTAACTTTTCAAGAGTAGCGGTTGCAAGCTTTTCAAGTGCAAATTGATCATTGCCTTTCAAATTGGATCCTGCTAACTGACTCTCAAATTTTCTGACATCCTGCACAGGTAGAATATATTGAACCCAGGACAAAGTTCCGAGCTACGAATTTATCAAACAAGATAACAGATGGTAGAATCTTTTACCTCAATAGGTGATAATGTATCCTTTTCCAGACTGCCCTGCCAATTGCTAGCCCGACCTTGAATTTTATATTTGAACTGAGATCCAACCAAGGCTAAATCTAGCATTGGATCTAGACCATACTCGGGCTCAAACTTCGCAATATTCAGATGTTCCCGTTTTAACCTCACCTGATTTTGAAATGGATTTTATCAACGAAATAAGAAAGTGACATGCCAAATCGACATTGAACTAGCCTAGGAGTATTTTTAAGCAATGGCATCACTATAAAAACAGTGATCCTAACCAAGTAAAAAGAATACGAAGAAAACGTGGAGACGTGAACAAGCTCCTTGCACAAACCTGTGTTGCAAGTAGCTCGACTTCACCATTCTCGAATACCAGTATGCCCCTGGGTGTTATATATTTGGGATGTGCGAGACCATTCAACTCAAGCTCTCCACTAACAGTAAATATAAGAATCAAAGGATAAACTATCTTCAATTCTGGTCCAAGCACAAGCTTCAAATCACTAAGGCGGGTTTCTATACTTGGTTTTATCAGCGTTTTCTCCATGTCCTTATCAACATTCGCTGCAATGTTGTATTAATTTTCAGAAGAGAGATGTCTGAAAGATATAAGTAAAAGGGAGAAGATCAAATGCTAAACTGATTAAAATGTAAAGTATTACCAGAGCTCGAGGATTGAGAAGTTTTGGTCGTCAAAGAAGCAGATCTCGAACCAAAATACTGTGAAATATATCTTGAAGCAAATTCTTGACTATTACTACCAGCAGAAAGTGCAGACTGATTTGAAGCAAGGGCTTGACTATCGCCGCTACCCCCATCGTGTGGCAAATAAACTTCTCCACGGCTAAGTTTAATATTCCCAGAAATTACTGGTTGCAATATCGAACCAGTTATTTGCAACTGGGAGTCAACCTGGCCACTGACAGAAGTAGAAAAAGTTATCTTGCCAAAACTCAATAATATTTTAGATTTAATAGTCAAATCTATATACACAAATGAATAAGAAAAATCAACCTTAAAATATTTTCCGCATGAACTTCTAGAACATCACACTTCAACTCAATTTTGTCATCAAGGGTTTCTTCACTAGTTCTGAGAGGAAGGTTCCCTTTTACAAGCAGTTTCCCTTTTCCGCTTAGCCTACTCTCCAGCGAGATGATGGATAACCTGTTTGATTTAATTTGAACAGTACCACCAAAGTTGGTTAGCGGCTTTCGAAACACCGGTGAAGATATAGACGCCCTGTGGAATATTGCATAGCCATTAAGCAATGGTTGATCAACTGTACCACTCACCTGTTAAATCAATCAATACAACATGGTTTAGAGAAGCGACTAAAAACGGAAAACTATATGACATTTATATTGACCGCCAACCTCGAGCATGACATCAGCATTTCCATGAAGCCAATCGGCATAAGGACTTAAAGCTGTTATAAGCATCATTCCTCCATCTTTTATATCAGCATTAACCCTGACTTCTCCCACATCTAAATTTTGCGAATATAAACCTTCAAGGCTTTTCGCTAACTGAGAGTTCCAAACCTCTTCATTTCGGTCTCTAAACGTGTTCTTGTTGTCGGCATCGGCAGCAGTCCCTCTATTTTTCCTCCTCACCCAATCAGGAAACAACGTAGCCTCGCTCTGATCTATTTCTTCATCTTGCTGTAACGTGTTATTTTGAGCAAAAGTAACAGGAATATTTCCATGAATTAATACATGACCATTTTGGATTATAGGCTTAAATTTTGCATTGAAAAGAAAACGGCTAGTTGATGTTAAAGAAGCAACAACTTCTGCTCGTTCAAGATCGATTCCACCAACGGAACCATCAAGGAGCCTTATTTGCACATCACATTCTGGTTTTGTTAAACTTCCTCTAAGATCTCCTTCCATATGCAAGATACCCTTAACCGGTGCTAACAATGGCTCTAAAGAATGAACAGAATCTGTTGCTATAGATTCAACAAGCTGAACAACATTTGGGACAAGACTAACAGGAAAGTTTAAGACCGCAAAATGAAGGTTAGTTTTAGGTCCTAACAGATTTCCATCAGCATGAATGGTGGCATTATCATTCTGAATCAAAAAATTCTTCACGCGCAGACCATTATCATTACTGTAAGCACCAACTGCCAAGATACACTGAGTTTTGTAGTCTCCCAACTCCCAATCTTCCCCGTGAATGTCAAATTTTGCCTGAAATGACATCAACAAAGAATTTCGGTATTCATAAAGTTGACAATTTATGCCAACTCCATGTAATAGTAATACAAACAATAATGAGTTTTTACCAGGGTATCTCCGTCCCCTCCGCCACTTGCACCAACAGAGCCATGCCAACGACCTCTGAGATCAAATAAATCAGGCAGATTTGAATCTTCAAGAACAATATCATGTGATGGATCATGATGCCCCCTTATTAACTGCAATTTGAACGCAATGATAGACAAAGAAACCTCAATGTTTGCAGTGAAATTAGATGCATCAAGTATTGTGTGAAAATAAAAGTATAGCGATCCTTTGATGATACCTCAAGCAGTTGTTGAGTGCTTGTTGAATATAATCCCACCGACTGCAAACTTTGAATAAAAAAATCCTACAAACATGTAATGTGGCAACAGTAAGTTATTTATATCATATTTCTCTATTTGGTACCAATTTCTATCAGAAAACATCAAAGACATAAAACATAATACCACCTTTGATCTTGAGAGAACAGTAGGGTCCATGCTTCGAAAAAGAAGCCTTGCAAGAGGAAGTATCTCAGCAATCTCCGCTCTACATACGTCAAGTTTCATTCTCCACCTACCCATCGAGGATATAACCCTACTAAGATTCCTAGACACACGACTTTTTAAAAAGCTGTCCTCTTTTCCATCAACAGCGTTGCAACTGCGGTTTCCAGGCAACACATATTCGCCTTGAAGTTCATAATGACTGTTGCTTTGTTCGAAGATAACTTTTTCAATTGTGATCTGAACGAAAGAACATTAACAAACAATCAGTATCCTCAAACACAATCCCAAAACTTTACCAATACAATATACAAAAGCACAAGGTTGTACAAATTTATATACTAGAGGGACAGTCCTAGTTACTCACAACATCTCCACTCCACCTAGCCGCCACATCTAGGGATTTACCAAGAACACCAATGAATTTTGGCTGAAGTACAGATAAGATTCCGTGTCCTCTTCTTTTTTGAAGATTAGCCTTGATTTCTGCCTGAAAAAATACCAGCCAAAAAATAGCATGTATTATTTTCGTTACATGATCATTAAATAATGCCTCGACCAAGTCATGATTCAGACAGAACTGAACAGAACAATAGAGAGTTGAAGAGATGAAATACAAAGCAACAAAGTCGAAATTTGCACATTGGAATGGTGAAAACCTTGTCTAATCTTTCTAAGGTCAACCTCATTATGATCCAAATGTGCATAGGAAGAGGGTATAGATAACAACGACAATGACACAGACACAGACATAGACATATGAAGTCAAATATATAAATATGGGCTTACCCTTTGAATAACCCCCCTGAGAGAAGCAAGCTCCAGCTCATCTAGTGGAAAATTTTGTACCTCCAAGCTAGCTGAAAGACTTTGTTGGATGTTGACACTGGCCCCCAATTTCCCTTTTTGAAATGAAATAAACAACAGTTGTCTACTTTTCAGATCATCTTCATCACCGGACTGGAGTGGCCTGATAAACTCTACTTCCAGACTTTCATCAGGTCGACCGGAGGCATCCAACTGCATACAATAACATTATTCATTATAATTCTTGTCCAAGATTATATTGCATTGAACAATGAGTTACCGCCATGGAGTCTGACAAACAGTTTCATAGCATCGCAAAACAAAACATTTTTTTAGGAAGAGCGAGTTTTATTCCCTACCTTGATACATTCAGGAGAAACTCTTAAGAACCCCGATAGTTGAGGTGCGAGCAACAATTGATTCAGTTTGAGACCACAGATTGAAACCTCACCAACAAGACAATCTGAACTTCCTTTCTCTAAAAGCTTTCCTTGAAACTTAACTCTTCCAGATGCTTTCAGAAGCAAAGGTCTTGGAAAATCCAATGTATAAGTAGTAACCAAGCGGAAGAATTCAAACTCGTGCATATTCAGATCAAACTCAATCTTGTAAACAGTAAACGGAATGACTTTTGGAGCACATAACTCTTCACTTGTAAGAGAAAAATCATCAGAACTAGATGTTTGAGCTTTCATATACAAATCAAATGCAGCTGAAGCAGAATGAACAGAAATGAAATCATGTGAAATTATGATATCTCCTCTAGCATCACTAAAAGACCCTTCTGCAGAAGGGGCAGTCCATTTTACATCAAGCGTTCTGCATATAAAAATAAAATGAGAAAACAATTTCCATAAAACAAACCGTATAGGAGACAGGAAATAAATCGTATCAGAACAGAAAAGGGGACTGACTTACGGTCTTGAAAGAGATCCCAAAATTTTTGTCTCTCCATGTATAACCCCTAGTTTGAGTGGCATCAAACTACGATAATTGGGAATATAACGAAGAAGTATATTTTCAATGGCCAAATTTCCAGAAAAGTTAACATCTATGGCTGTCTCATCCTCTTCACCCTGAGAACAAAAGTATACATTAGCAAAATCAACGAGACCTCTAATTTCCCGTTTTGCAAGTGAGGGAGTCGGTAACAATAGTTCACAGGCCATATCCCATATACCTCTGGGCATATCCAAGCAGTCCCAGCTCCTTGAATTTCACCACCATCCACAAGGCTTACTCTGATTCCATATAAATCAGCAACCTGTTGAATGCAACGAGACCAAGAGACTTAGAGGATTTAAGAAATTGCTAGAATGAATTGTATTCGGCATATTTAGGATTTTATGTTTACTTCAATGGATTGGTTAAACTGTGATAATAAATAAGAAGAAAGCACTTCCTAGAACACTAAGATTTCAAACTAGTTACCGATCCACTAAAATCTAAATTCCTTACGACTTTCAACTTACACAGTTATCGGTGTTGAAACTAAAATTGGCAGATACATATGAAAATGGTACACGGTCAAATGCTGCGACTGCACCAGCTTCTTTACTTTTATCAAGTGCTTCAGATGCTACAGTTGCCGGAGTGTCAACGTGTAAAGAAGGCGATGTCCTAGAAACCATTCCCGTGCCCACAAATATAGGATTGTCTAGCGGACCTTGGCAATTAAACAGTGCGGTTACTGATCCTGCTAGCTGCAATCCATAAACCTTAGTTATTAAAAATAGAAATGAAAAACAGTGATTGATATTAGATAGGTAATTATCACTCTTTTTCGGTAACAGTTGTGTAACAAGTATCAAGAAATGATGATACTTCAAAAATATAAAAGAAATCAAGAAGAAAAATGATATAGCTTTATGGTAATGTGGAAATGACCGGTTTACAAAACAGTAACATACCGGGAACGAGAAAGATTTCATGTTGAAAGTTTTCATCAAAGCATTCACTTCAACACCAGGTACCTGGAAATTTGATCAAGAAAATATCATAAGGAATAAGTGGACCGAGTGTTTGCCACATTCTCTCATTGAACAGATACATAATTATACCGATATGCATACAAACATACATAAAATTAAAAGTACCTCACACTTAATATGCAATTCTCCTTCCTCGGGGTGAATGCCAAAATCTCCTGATGCTTCTAGAGGAATGCTGCCAAACCAGCCACACGCATTGTGTAAAAATATTCTTTGAACACGAAAACACAAACTTGCTGATACGTTCTGGAAAAACCAAACTAATTGATCACCTTGAAGGCTATAAGTATTTTTTGGCGAACGATAAAAATACAGTGCATATGCAATGGCTCAGTTTCATTCCAAGAGAATTACAAATGAAACATATCAAAAAGGGATTGCACAAAGCATTTTAATTCGGGTGAAAGGAAGACATACAGAGAAACACGACGGAGCATCTAATAGTTGGAAGTTCAATCCCGTCACGTCTAGCTGTCCGTGAATATTTGGAAAAGTCTCACCCTTAGACACGCACAAGTGAAGCTGTAACAAAAGGAAACAGTATATCAAACAGATGAAGCAAAATCAATTATCAAGAATAAAGTAGCAAGTTAAAGACACACCTCGCCACTGGCCCTCCCTTTGGACCATGTAATTGGAATTTCTAGGATTCTTTCAAATAGCTGCAGAGGACTCAAGCCGGACATAAATTATATAAGCATTTATAAAGGATAAATGTCAAAATAGGAGGTGACAACTTTGGAATTTTAAATTATTATATACCTTACCGGAACATAAAGATTGTCGATTTTCAAATTAGTATGCCATTTCTGCTCAGTAATGTCGATAAAAACATTTGCAGACAACCAGCCACCATCTTTGCCTATAACATCTGATCTCCAGGGCTTACAATTTCCATTAAGGTGTATGTTTATATGGTTGTAGTGGTTACGAAACTTCACATGGCCATTGACATTCTCCATCTCCCTGAAAGTAAAACATACAGAAAATCTAAATTCATGCAGCTAATCATTTTTTTTTAATAAGACTTCAGGTTCCAATATAGAAGTTCTTAGAATTTGGGTTGAGCCTAACTCAACTCTATAAAATCGGCTTGTAAAGTGAGAGACGCTTCCCACTTATAAATTTATTTTTAGGCCATATCTCATCAAATGTGGGACTCTTAACACACACTCTTCTGTCTAGGACTGGACATCTAAAGATTGACTCGAGTGGCTTAATGGATACTATGATTCCATCTTAAAATTTGAGTTGGACTACTCAAACCTATAAAATTAGTTTGTAAAGTGAGAGAGGGTATGTGAATCTAAATTTTGCAATTCGTTTCATAACAAAAATGTTCTTATAAATAAAATATGATAGCTTTTCATCTTCATTCATTCATAAACTATATCAAAAGGTTAAAAATGATACAACCAAATTTTATGTCTTCATTTATCATCACTGCTTCGACACATCGTTAACCCTCAAGAAGTGTCCAAAGAGTGTCTAAGGTGTGTGACACTAGTCATACGAGTGTCGAACACTGACGCGCATCGGACACTGGGACATGGCTAATTCCAGAGACAGTATGTTGTAAACTCATTTACAGATCTTATCTCATCCAATGTGGCCCTCTTAAACACCCCCCTCAACAGAAGTATCTCGTCAGTATATGCAAGTTACAACTACAATTACTCCATATCCCAGCTTTAAGATTATACTCCCCCTCTCATCTTAAAATATTAAGATTAAGAGAAGTAGTACAACATATACCAAATTCAAAAACTCGGCATCAGTTCAATGAATCCATTTTAAAATACAAGATACATAACTGGATAAAACATGCCAATAGTAGTTCTCACCTAACTTCATTGTCTCCATATGCAAGTAGCATCACAGTTGCGCCTCTGAAATGAACAGAATCCAACATTACAGGAAGAGTCTCGGTAAGGCCTTCAGGCTGCAGAACATCTACCTCATTTTCTGCACCAATCTCTTTATCATCATCTCCACTGGCAACCAATTCTGGAATTTTATCAGTATCGTTTTTTATCAAATGTTTATCATCAAGATTCATAGAATGAAAGCATCCAGAAGATGATGAAGGCTCCTCAGACTTCCCCTGTGATCGACCGCAAAAGTATGCACGTGCTGCTGACGCACTGCATTCCAAAATTCTTTTTTTGACGGCAACACCAGACTCAGATATGTCACTCCTTCTAGACTTTCTCTTAAATTTGTGTTTCCCATACCTTTTTATAACTCTGGACAAAAACTTAAGCCCCGATGAACCAGGAAACTTCACTCTAAATGGCTTTTCCAACTCCGCGTGTTTCATATCATAATCAACACCCTTGTCTACACAATGATGATCATGTTTCCCCTCACTCATGCAGAAAAAGGAGTTGGAATCGGTTCCTCCTCTTGAATGAACTTGAGTCTCCTTTAAATCATTCCCATGGGAGGACTCAGAAACAAAGTAACCAATCTTTGCAGCTTCCCGAGCTGCGTCATCCCGCTCTCTCTCCGACCGAACCGCTGCTTCTTCTTGTGCAAGCCTCCTCGTTCTAGTTCGATGATCAATCCCATCTTCAGCAGACAAGTTCCTCTTTATACCGCCTTCACTCTCCGGTATCCCTAACCAACTATAGTCCTTCTTCTGCACAATCAATACACTTGGATGTGACAAAACTGCATCAACCACAACTTTTCCCCTCATCAAACTAGCAAAAGGATGAAGACGAAGCTTAACAATAGGAACCTCACCACAAGAAAACTCCTCCTTATGAGGCCCAAATGAACATGACTCCAATGTCAAACTCAACGGCGAGATTCTTCTAACCTTTCCAATGCGAAATTCCCGCTGAATTCGCTCACTGATTACTAAACAAACAGAAGGCAATAGTTTGGCTTCAACATAACCCTTAACTTTATTACTTCCAAACCAAATCAACAGAAACAAACCAGAGATAACAACACTATAAACACACACCCTTATCAAAAAAATCCTTTTTTTCCACAATGGGGCAAAGAAAAGAGAAGAAAAACTTGATTTCTTGGTACATTTCAACCTAGACCCACTAACGGAAACATGGTGTAACCTCAACAAGTTTACATTTTGGCAACAAAAACTAAAATCTTGCCTTATTGGGTGTCTGTGTTTAGCATATACGGTGCACCAGTTTTTGGTTTTCTGCAACAAGCTTCTTCTTTTCAACAACTCCAAATGATTGCTGCTAGTGTTGTAAGCTTTGAGAAAAGAATGATGTTTGATTCCGAAGAATGAGGTGTTCATTATATGATGATAAATTGAGTGTGTTGTGATTGAGACAGAGAGAAGTGTCAAATTGAGAATGTGTTTTGATGAATATTTTGTGGGGAAATTTGAACTTTGAAGTTAATTGTGGGAAAGAAGAAAAGAACAAGACAATATGAATATTTTGTTGCTTGTTTTGATACAAATGGAATAATCAAATATATACTTATAAAATGATCTATGGAATGCTCTCAAGTTGATTTTTGTTAATTTTTCGTAATTGTGTTTTAGTTGTTTTTAAAGGTGTTGAATTTGTTAAAAGATTTTAGGTTATTTTTCTTCATAACATTATTCCCTCTCATATCAAAATCAATATTAAGTTTGATTGGTTAAGCTTCAAATATTATTTTTGTTTAATTTTGTTATGTTTGAATCTGTTGAAAAGTTTTAGGTTTTATGCATGACATTGAATTTTATTGTTAAAGTTATTGTGTGTAATATTTATATGTAATTGCAGAGTTTAATGGATATTGAGAAGATTTTTGACATTTTCAAGAATACAACACATTATCCTTACTGATGTGGAATATAAGGTAGGGTTGAAGTAACAATTCATATGCTATAAATAATGTTTGTAACCTCAACAATGTTATAAAATAGTTATTGTGATGAAAGTGAGGACTCGTCATCGAATGAAGAAGATTTAAGAGAGACAAACAATAATGAAACTTGATGTAAATTTGATGTTGAGAATGCAGTAGATTCTCTGACTAATTTAGAAAAAATAAACTTCAAAGAGACCTGTTGCAAAGAAATGATGAGGTGCCACTTTCCTTCACTTGATGTGGAATTTATGTTTTATAACTAGTACGCATGTTTACATTGATTTGCTAGTAGAAAGAGTCATGTTGTTAGGAGTAGGAAAGGCCTAGTAGTCCAACAAACGTTCCTTTGTCATATAGAAGAAATGAGAGATGAAAAATTCATAAATTATGTATCTAGGAAAGATAGATCATAAACCTATAATCCAATGTGATTGTGAGACCATAATGAAGGTTCATCTTGATGTTAGTTCAGATCAACGATACATTAAATTATTTGACGATGCTCGCAATCATTCGCTCGTTAGTTACAAGTATGAGAGGATGCTTACAACATATAGGAAGATGAGTGAGTACAACAAATACCAAATGAAAACAATGAGAAAATCTGGTACCCTAACCTCACATATATATGGTTTCTTTGCTACATGAGATGGTGGGTATGAGAATGTTGGTTATTTTGGAAGAGACATGTACAATGAGCAATATAAGGGACCCATGACTAAGAGTTCTGACACCGATGATTCACTTGATTTCCTTAAGGGAATATGTGATAACGATAATATGATGTATTAGAAACATATTGTGAATGAGAAATGTATGCTTCAACGTCTATTTTGGTGTGAAGATGTGTTAGCTTGGAATCTCAAGTTGGATAAAAAAACGTTGTTATGTACTGGGCCGAGACCTGCCCCATAGTCAGGCAGGTCCAACCCAATACTATATTGGGGAGGCCCAACAAGGCCCAATCCTCCCCATGTCGGGCACGCTTAACTCTGTCGTCAGGCAGACCACTACCTAGCACGGGGAGAGCTCACGCGTCTTTCCCACGGACTCCTCGTGCCCCCCACGCGAGAACACGTTATCAGGCCACTACCCACTTCCGAAAAAGTTGGTTAGCCCACCTTTCAAAGATCATTGGACAGTTGATCCAGGGCGAAGACCACGTGCTGGTCTTCTCTACGCCACGTAAGCCTGGCAGTTACTCGTATTGGGCCTGGCAATTCGGCCCAATGCAAAGTAATCATTGGCCCTACGCTAGGGGCATGTTATAAATACCCTCTTTCACTAAAGGGTCAGGTATTCTATTTTCCACATCTATTCTCTTTGTACTTGATCTTTCTAAACTCCGTTACTCACTTAGGCATCAGAATACCTTGCAGGTACACCCCTCCTCTTCAACACCGGTGAACAAAGGAGCTCACGACGCGTGGCAGGCTGTTGATTCCTTTTTGATCAGGTAAGATCAATAGTGCCGACTATGAGGACCCTTTGCTCCCCTGTTCTTTCTCTTATAGAAGCATATAAGCTCAAGAAATAAAGCAACAATCAACTTCTGTTTGATCATGGCCAGCCCATGCAATGACAACGCTCCAAAAACCGTATTCGTTTCATTCACCAACGGTGACGGCCACGATCCCAATATGGTTGTTCACGTCGAAGAGGGCGACTCTAGGGACGGGCGCACCTCCTCTCCCTCCTTGGAAGACGCGGCCTTCAATGCCGCCCGATGCTTTGATAGCCCAGCTGTCTACCAACTAATCCCGGTGCCACCCAACTGTCCACCAGGTCATCCCGAAATGCCATGAGCTTCTCTTTGGTGGATTCATCCTCAGCAGGCCTAGCTTTGGCCTCCAGATCGGCCACCTTGGTCTGCAGTTGACCCCGATCCTCCTTGGTCTTCTTCAGCTCGTCCCTTATTTCGTTCATCTCATGGAGGAGGCATACATGGGCTTTATACCTCGTCTGAGCCTCTTGCAAGTCTCTCTTCGCCTTGTTTTTCTCGGCCTCAAGGACGGTGTTCTCTTCTTGCAACTTCTTCAGCTCGGAGGTTGGGTTGGTTTCATCGTTGAGGACCAAGGTCGTCTCGAAGATCCTCATCATGGCGGCCATATCCTCGGCCAACGCCTTTCTTAGGGCCACCCGATCAATCCCTATGATCACCTTAGTTTCAGCCTCAACCATTGTCAGGGAGTGGCCTCCGGAGAAGAAGTCTCGCTGGGTGTGGCAAGGAGGTAGCGCGAACTTCTCCACAGGTGCACTCTCCTCGAGGTCGACAAGCACTGGTTCCTCGATGCGCCGCCTTTTGGAGGAAGTCTCCTGCAAGGGAGGAGATTGTTTACTGTGAATTTTGGTAAACAACTGCTGGTCTATCAATTTGGGCTAAAATTGACTAACTCGCAGGATCGACCATACTAAATTCTATAACATGTGCTAAGTAAGTAAGGGATTTTAAGTTAAATTCTACTTTTGACCGGACCACCTCTTAGAAAAGAGAAATCCTTTAAGGGTTAAAGACAATAAATAAGAAAAAAAAATCAAGTAATGCGTAGAAAGTAAAGGTAAGAATGTAAAATGCAATGAGGTAGAAGTTTTGAAAAGTAAAGTTGAAAGTAAACGGCTTTAAAATAACAATTGTAATGTAAAGGCGAAGAGACTACCGCCAAACTCCACGTTCGACTGTAATTCCTTTGAGAAATAACTGACTTTTGAAGATAAAAATGCAAGTAAGTAAATTGCTTGGAAAATAACTCTAATCAGAACTCCACGTTCGACTAGGGGATCTTTGAAAAGTAAATGTGCAACAGAATTGTAACGAGCAGTTTAAATGTAAAACTGAAAGTTTAAAAATGGCAAGTAAGTTGTAAAGATAAATTGCATTGATAAGAAAGGATTTGGTGTTGTATCACGTACATTCTCGTTAACTCGTTTCTCTACACGCGGGTACTCTGAGTTGTATGAACTAGTACAAAATGAATGAACACACCTATTACATAAAATTAACTCCTATTTATAGTGCTATAGAATAACTACTACATGGCGGTTGAGACTTCTTAACATGCTTTTTTGGCGCTTCTTTGCTACTTCAACTGCTCACACGTTCTCTTTTGCTTGATTTGAATTTTGAATATTTGGTAGTTCTCTCCAACTTGGCGAAACCGTCTTCGTGTTTTCCTTAGCATGGTCTTCGTCGAGCGTTTTCCAACACTTAGCATTTTTTGGCACCTTAGTCCATCTTTCTTCGACTTGAAGTTTTCCTTGTTTGGTTCGAAACCCTCCCACATACCAGATATTGGTAATTTTGACCTAAGATAGCTCCGGTCTCGACTAGCGTCGAAAATTAGGAGCCAACAAATTGCCCCCAAAAATTGTCCTTTCGCTAATCTTGGATAGGAAGGTCAGTTTTTCCTATCGTTTTTGACGCGTGTCTCCTCAAAGCATAGCCTTTTTAGGTGTCTCCTCAAGACCAACCCCTATATTTCTTCCGCTTTGTCTGACAAATCCATGCTCAATCTCTCCTCCATAAATCCCTCTTTCCTTGAATCATAGTCTTGCACTTACTCACAGCAAGTATGAATTCTAATTTAGAAAAGTCCGCCAAAAAGACTCAGGCAAAAGAAACGAAGGACCTTGCGGTGGTGGTAGCAACCAAACTAGCAACAAAACCTGAGACTTCTCATGGAGTACCTCCTCGCGCGAAGAAAACAGAAACCAACATGAAGGTGTCTAAGACAAGACGTCCTCGTACTTACCCTTCGAATGATGAAGTCGACGAAGATTGTATAGAGTACCTCAAGTTCATTGATTTGAGAGATTTTGATTAATCCCTACTTTGAATTATGAATCATTATACTGATTTCTTTTGTTTTGATTTCTTGTTTGCCATGTTAGCCTTTTTGGCATATTTTGGCTATTATGTCTTTTAATGAAATCTAAATTTTAATATGAATTTCTTGCAAGATAGGCCTATACTTTTTCAAATATTTGCCATTTGCTTTCAAGATTCTTTTATCCTTGTCTAATTCCTCGATCTCATAGGCTCCATTCGAAAATATTTGTATGATTTGAAATGGGCCTTCCCATTTAGGAGACCATTTGCCTAAAGTTCTATCCCTTCGATCCATAGGCAAAATTACTTTCCATACGAGATCTCTGCATAGAAAAGATTTAGATTTAAACCATTTATTATAGGAATCTTCGACCCTTTGTTTTTGTCTTCTTAATACTTCCAAGGCTTTAAGCCTTTCTTCATCCAAGTCTACCAGTTCGTCCATCATCATTGCCCAGTAAGATTGATAAGGGATCTCATGATGTCTCTGGATTCTCACAGATTGTAAGCATATTTCGATAGGTAACACTGCGTCACGCCCAAAGGTTAACCTAAATGGTGTAGCATTCGTAGCTTCTTTTGGTGACGTTCGACATGCCCAAAGGACT